TAATTATTTCCGAAGAATATCCTTCGCCGAGTCTGTAAGTCTGAGAAGATGGCGAGTTCACTCATTCCTTGTTTCTGCCTATTAACGCAGCCTTCCACGGCCCTGTCCTGCGAACACTTGACTCAACAGACGATATGGCATTCGTTTTGTTTGATTTTGCAGCTATTTCCAAAACATCCTACTATGCGCTTATCATTTTCCTGTAGTTTGCTTTTGGTACTTTTCGAGGCAGTTCGCTTCGGAGGGGGCGCTGGGCTAGTGTTCATCGATTACTGCCTGGCTACTTTGTAAAGATTTGTAAACTCTGGCAAAGCTGAGCAATAGTATGAGCTTCATTTCCACTTCACAAGGTTTGAAAGCTCATCAACGCTACCCCGCCCCCCCCCTTTTTTTCCCAATCCGAAGAGCACCATGTTGAGCGGGGTGATAATGAAGCCCGTTTTCGGATATTGCTTGTGGATATTTTCGTGCGTGGCTGATGTGCTACTATTGATGCGGAAACTATTCTTCAAATTAAATTTAATATTGATTCAAACCACTCATGGTAGCGAGCAGTCCCCGTTGTCGATGGCCAGCGTTTTGATGGTAAATAGCGGTTTTGCTCTATTCACGAGGGCCATGCCCCTAAAAGCCAGACTTCAGACGAGTACAGCTCTGTTTCCTAGGAAAGGTTGAGGGTGGCTTGCCGGGTCACCTTCATTTTTCGATGTCTTCCGCGTAAAGTCAACGAATGATTCTTATTTCTGAATGAACATTGAGTTGTCTTTTTTCACAAAGGCAGCAAGTAGAAAAAAAAGTTGGAAAACGCTTTCAATTTGCTCATTGCGACCCGTTTTATGACTCCGACCCGGCTAGTCTGCTGCATAATCGCTTATAAAACATTCGTGACTTTCAGGACTTGTAGCCCACTAAGCCATGAATTTGAACTCTGGAAATAAAAGTAACGTTACCCTTCTTTGTGAAAGCGCCGCCAGCATGTTTAGAAAACACATGTAATTTCGTTTTTTTTATGGCTCGGTATCGTAATGAGGTCGCGTTCATAGCTTGCGACCATGAAGAAATGCAGAAATGCCGAAACTGCAGACGTGCCGAAAGTGCAGACGTGCCGAAAAGCATTACATACGTATCGATTTGAAGAAATGCAGAAATGCCGAAAGTGAAGAAGTGCGGAATCTGCAGAAATGCCGACGTGCGGAATGTGCAGAAATGCCGACAGTGCGGAATGTGCAGAAAAGCAACCGATACGTATCGATTTTCCACACTGTCGGCATTTCTGCAGATTCCGCGCTTCTTCACTTTCGGCATTTCTGCATTTCTTCAAATCGATACGTATCCATTGCTTTTCTGCACATCTCTTCCGCACTGTCGGCATTTCTGCACATTCCACACTGTCGGCATTTCTGCAGATTCCGCACTTCTTCACTTTCGGCATTTCTGCATTTCTTCAAATCGATACGTATGTAATGCTTTTCGGCACGTCTGCACTTTCGGCACGTCTGCAGTTTCGGCATTTCTGCATTTCTTCAAATCGATACGTATGTAATACTTTTCGGCACGTCTGCACTTTCGGCACGTCTGGGAGTTTCGGCATTTCTGCATTTCTTCATGGTCGCAAGCTATGAACGCTTGGCCTCAATGGAGGCGGATGTGGTGTAGTTGGCACACTTTACCGTCGTGGGCGGATCGGCTCCCGTCTAGGCCAGCTAAGCCTCCTTCCCTCCAGGGACAGTAAATTGGTGCCATATTCGTCTAGGTGGATCGAAACACTTACTTGTACATCCTGGCCTTATCTACATCCTGGCTGGCCCTGCAGGTCATTATATAGGATTCAATAAGCCACTACGATTCTGAATGGAAGTAGAATGCGTGCCGCATCCCACAAAGGGATTGATCAAAAGCGAAGACTTTATACTTTTATATTTACAAATGGCATATGAAGAAAGCAGTCGCAGTAACTTTCGCTGCTCGCGTGCCTGACGTAACCTCCCTGGAAGTGTTCTCAAACATGCCGGCTAAATACACGTTTTTTTCGCCCTCGAAATCAGAAACTTTTATCAGCCTTGAGAATTTTGGCCGAAAAACTATAATGTTTGCTTCAGAAAAATTCAAGCTTACAGGGTCGTTTTACTACCAGTTTTTCTACGTCATACGTCGTTTTCTACGTAAGTTACGATCGACACCTGGCTCAAGCAGTGTAATTCATTCCAGATATTGCTTTGAATGACTTGTGAGCTGTGCCCGCGCTGGCTTGCTAGGCCCATGTTCGGCAAAAATTACGTCATCGTAAGAGGAGGAGGCTTTTTTCTCGTTTATTTATGTGAGAGTGACGCGTATTCGCCTGACAGCTGGCCAATACCAATTGAGGGCTCTGCCGGCTCCGGCGCCGTGCGCTAGAGATGAGGAGATTGTGGGAGGCAGGAAAGGGGCGAGTGAATTCCCAAGGCTAAGAGCAGGGTGCCTCTCGGCTATTGATGAGCGGTGGTTTGGACGTAGAGAGGCGTAGGGAGAAACATGAGCCATAGGATCACTTGAGCGCGTTTTCTTTGCATAAACAAGGGAGCGTCGGAGATTCAGTGTTGCCCATTCCAGTTCTCGTGCGTAAGTTCTTATACCAACGAGTATTCTTTTCTGGAACTCAATTATGTATGCTTTCATTTTATCACAGGATATAAGGACAGAAGTTGTCGAAGTTCCAGGGCACAAGGAAACGGAAAAATGTGTAACAGAGTGTGAGCGTTTCGGCTCTAAAAGTTGTCATTAGCAGGGTTATTTTTTGTTTTGTTTTGTTTTTCTTCCTTCATCTTCGTTATTCGTTCCTTTCTCTTGTGCGAGAGGCTTATGGCAAAGCGGCGCGGGCCTCACCCGAAGACTGCCGACAACGTGTGCGAGAAAAATTCAATACGTTATTTTGTTTTCGAGGCATTACAATATTGCCGTTTCTGTTTTTCACCCAAAAAATTATTATTCAAATTGGCCTAGCACGAGGATGTAATGATCACGTGGAATTGAAGTTGATTGTTTTGCCCGAGATGGTGACTAATATTTCCGTTTAAAATGATTCACTTTGTGTTTCCGCTATTGGTTTCGTGATTTCTGATAAAGGTCACACTCCTGCATTCCTATAAACAAAGTTCCTGTGGATTTTATTGCCCTCAAAATAGGAACCATTCATCGGAGGCACTATTCAACTACTACTACCCCATTTTCCGAAACCAGGCTAGTTTATCGACTTTCTTTCCACAAGAGCAGAATTGGCCGAAAGTTTGTTTTCAGGGGTAGTTCGACCTGCTGGACTTGGAAAATTACATCTGCTTGGTCCGAAACCGCATGTTGCCAAAATATCCCCTACCGCTAAGATTGATGAAAACTTGTGTACGCGGGCTATTTGACATCGTGATTATGAATATGACGTTTGTTTGGTGCCGGCGCTAATGGAGGACGCTCTGATCATGTGCGCCGTGCTTGTGCTGAACTTGACCTGAAGAGAACCATTCCTGCCAAGCTCAGCCTTGGCAGTAGGCTAAATGCTCCAGCGCCAAAAACAAATGCACAGTTAGATCGGAACGCGGAACAACCTCAGTATGCGAGTTTACGCAAATTTTAGTGAGAAAAGTGGTGGCTCCAAATGGCGCTAGCTAAAAAGGCCGATGTCATACTAGTGATTAGGGCACCGAATAACTCGTATACGCGAGGTCAGCAGAAGTTTTCTCGAGTTTTTGGGGTAGCAAAGTAGAATAGTACCAAGATGCCTCATTATTGTGGTTCACTTCGGTTCAATCGATTAGTCTACTTCGCTCAAGTTACTTCTGCATTCCATGCCTTCCTTTCTGCAGAATGTGCCGTCCTTGTTCTGACGATAGTTTAGTATTCTCTTTTTGGCAGAAACTCCGACTTATTGAAGACACGGCTGTGACGCGCACAGACTTCCGGTCAATAAATTGCGTGCTATAGCGGAATTCTTTTCATCGCACGCACGATTAAGCTCCTTTTGTTTTTTCCTCTTCGTTCTCTTTTTCGAACAGTGACGTCTTTCATGCTCTTTCTTGCTAGGAAGGATTTGAATGAACTTCTCCTTCAGCATTCAGCGTATTGTGAATGTTTCAAGAATGGAACTCTTCTTGCCTCGACGCGCTCTCCCACTTTATAGTCGATTGTGGCCAAAAGTCTTGCTTTCCGAGAATCTTTAGCAATTTTTCCCTTTTATACGTAACCTGAAGGCGGATGTGGTGTAGCGGTAAGTGGCCCTCTTAGGCCGCGTTCATAGCTTGCGTTCGTGAAGAAATGCAGAAATGCGGAAAATGCAGAAGTGCGGAAAGTGCAGAAGTGCGGAATCTGCAGAAAAGCAATAGATACTTATCGACTTGAAGAAATGCAGAAATGCCGAAACTGCAGAAGTGCGGAAAGTGCAGAAATGACGAAAAGCATTGCATACGTATCGATTTGAAGAAATGCCTGCATTTATGCATAAGAGACCACCTGCATTTCTGCTTTCTTCTTTATTAATGCACATGACTTTGATAGAGCAAAATGAATAGAGCTTTTGTGGTTGGCTAACTCTTTTCATCATCTTTTATGATTTTTGTCCCTCAGGTGAATCGCGATCTAATTTACTGGTCCTGGAAGGGAGAAATCTTGTTTATCTTCCCGCGCAGAAGCCAGGGTATTGCCTTCTAGCCTCATGCGTGGAAGGCGGACCTTGCCATTACACCTCCCCTATCCTAATAATCTTGGTATGATTTGAAACTAGTGGTTTGTTAATGACAACAGCCAGTAATCATAACGTTGTCTGAATGAGCTTTCAAGAGAAGTTGGTCCAGTTTTTATTGGGTCGCGTTCATAACGGTCCTTCCTTATGATTGCTCTACCTCTTTAGACGCATTCCGTAACTTTGCGTGACCGTGAGCGAGCGACTAGGAAAGTTTAGATATCAATCTAGCATACGCCAGTTTGCAGCAGCGTTGTCGCGGGCAGTTTTGCTGAAGCTAAAATTGCCCACGAAAAGCGCTGGTATACGCTGGCGTTCGCTAGATCGATACCCATACTTTCCTAGTCGCTGACGTATGCTGGCATATGCTGGCGTTCGCTAGATCGATATCTATACTTTCCTAATCGTGGAGCTGGCGTACGCTGACGCAAAGTATGAGTGCAGCCTTAGCAGGATGCGACCAAATATGGAGAAGATTTGGTAAGGATGGAGAATGTTCAGCGCGTCCAGAAAGTTTCAGTAGTTCAATCATATAATCGTTTGCCCTTCAGATTGATTGCCCTTGACGTTAAAATCGAATTGCAAAAATGGGATTTTGGAAAGCCCTTGAGCCTGTGGTTTTTTACATTGGGGCAAGCCGGAAAAGCTTGTTTTTCTGCCGAAAATTAGTTCTCATTACTTTGTTTTCTGCAACTGGTAATTGGATCTTTACCGTAGCCTTATTGCCGAAACACTTCTTCAGGGGTGGTTTCTCATGTTTCCAGGCAGGGGACGTGTTCAGTTGTTCTGCTTAGAACCGGTTCTTTTCTTAACTTTGCGTATTTTATGTTAATGTTTATTGCACAATTGTATAATCTTTATTTACGCTTATATTAGATGCCCGTGCTCATTGTCTTCATCTTTTGTCGATTGTGAATGAGGGTTTTTGCAGGTCTTTCATGACGTGACGGCGAATTTTTCCGCCGCTCCCGAAAAATTCGACGGTTTCGAGTACAGTACAAAGGATGTGATAGGTCATGGAGCGTTTGCAATTGTTTATAAGGGAAGATATTCAGATGTAAGTTTTACATAAATTCTATAGTATTTATTATTCGAACTTATTCACGTCGTCTATCTATGACCTCCTTTACTGATTATTTGATTAATATTCGACTCAGGGCACCTCCTACGATCCCCAGCGGGACGGGGTCGTGTGAACAACGATGATGTGCTATTTGGTTGATTTTTTTGTGTTTATCCAGGCGCTAATTCAACATCCCTTTCTGAGAATTTCAATGTGGGAAAGGGTAGGGGGTGTATTTGTGTACTCCAGAAATGTGACACGAAACAAGAAAAATCAGCTATCAAAAATTTTCCACATATCAAGTACGATCCTCCTTCGTTGATGGGAAGGGCCGCATCTGCCTGTGAGAGAAATTTGTCGCGTTGTGAAATTTTTTTCGGTTGCTGATTTTTTTAATCGTTTCGGTGGTGCTATATAGACCTTTTTCTTCTTCCTTCTTCACCTCCCCTTCTCCTCTCTTCCCCTCCCTCACCCCGCTCGACAGCAAAATCCTGGGGAGAAAACTGGGAAATTCTTGGGAAAGTGTGGTAGGACTCCGGGGAACACTCAGTGTGGAAAGGGGAGGGGGTCGTAGCAGAGGACAAATTGTGGGGGTTCGTATTTCCCAAGGAGTTTCCCTAGCGGCAGGACGCACCCTGATCAGACTAGCGCAGCTTGATAACGCTGGCCATCACGATGATCTTTGGGTGTTAGTTAACCAAAAGATGTTTTTTGTGACCGTTGTCCCCCGTTAACACAAAACTATGTTTTGGCTGAGGTGACATAAACATCACCCTCATCACACACTCTCTCTCTTTCAAAGCGATGTAGTTGAGAGCCTTTCTCGAAATGTAATCGTATCGGGTTTGCCCTGAGGCTCGACGGCGGTGACAGGCGTGCGGCGGCTCGCTGTTTCGCATGGCGTTGTGGGGGCGACCAAGTGGTTGCCTTCATTAATGTCCTCTGACCAAGAAAAAAGTGGGCGCTTCCATCGGGTCAGTGAGCTGGAACATGCTGTGAGGGGGCTCGCATTAAGCGAGCAGTAATTCTTACTATACAGATAGTTAGGGACCACCCCCTGATTTCATATTGCGGATAAAAAGTTTTGCTCGTTAAAGGACTCTCCAGGGAAGGAACAGGCAAATAATATGGGGAACCTCGTAAGGACCCCCTTGCAGCATCACTGCACTTTTTTTCGAACCTGCTCAACGTTCCATGCCATCGCCATCTAGGCGGTATCCTGCCGTCTCTGACTCACTCCTTTCTTCCCGTCGTCCTGTGTTAATGCCATTTAACAGTGAAAAAAAAACGTCATATCGGTGTCTGAATGCAGACGAAAATAACCGTGTAGGCGGTCAAGCGCTGACTATATGTATACGCCGCGAAAAAAAGGATGAATTCAGAGAAGAGGACTAGATTGCTTGTACAGAAGCATGTTTACGAATCGCTTGAGCGCCGGGACTGTCTTTAAGCGGACTGGAAGTAAGAATAGGTCCAGGGTGGTTTAGCAGCAGATGTGTCAGCAGGTGACTGAGTAGACCAAGCGTGCAATAAATAAGTTTTTTCCGGTCCAAGCGCTTAATTCGTCAAGCTCTAGGGAACGAGAAAGTTATGCATAGAGTTTTGGGAAATGTTCAGTTCAACCCGCCATTGAAAAAAATTGTTATTTTAGTCCAAACTTATTTTTATTTACATTGCATTGACTGAAGGCGTCTATCGCTTGATCCTCTGACTTAGGTCAGTATTCAATCATCAAAAAAGTTCTTCATTCAAAGGAGCTGGAGGGCTGTGGTGGGAGCGAAGTTCTTCAGTCATACTGTTTTTGTACCTCAATCCACTGTAATATTAAGATACCGATTATTATTTCAGAGACCAGATGTTCCAGTGGCAATCAAAGCCATTGCAAAGAAGAATATCGCGAAATCAAAGAATCTACTAACAAAGGAGATTAAAATATTGAAAGTATGTTCACACAGTTTATCGAATCGTTAGAATCTTGTGTTGACGGAATGAGAGTTCAAGCTGTCAGCCGCTAATCCGCTATAAAGCTTTTTATGAATTCCTGTGAAAGTTTCGGGCCGGCATTTGGTGAAGAGTACGCAGAAACTCTGTAAAGATACAAAAGAGATTTCTTGGGCACAATTACCCTTTACTGCCCCAGTCATCCGAAATCGAGGCAGTTTTTGACTGACTTTTTTTCTCCGTGGACAGATTTGGCTCAAATGTTGTCTCCTGGGGTAGTTTGACTTCCTGCATACGAATATCCTATTCGCTTGGCCCAAAACCTTCTAGCGCCCGCGCCACAGGCGCCGGTAGTTTTGGGTGTTTTGGCGCCGGCGCCAGTAGCGTGAAGGAGGAGAGTAGAACTATTCCTAA